TGACCTTTAGTCAAGGTAGATTGGACTCCCACCTATGGACCCTGTCACATCGTCTCCCCTTTTCTGGTTCTACAGTCTCCCCCATTGTTATTAACTAATCCTTATGTCTGATGAGAAGAGTTCAAGTTGAATTAAATAATGATTCCATCAGTGACCCACTTTTGGATAGCTCATCTATTTTCCATTTTTTTGAATGTAAATTTATGATACTATGTATTTGATTTCTTTGTAGCATCACATACTTAATAGCATCTTCCTAAAGGGGCTTTATCATTCAGGGTTCAACTAAAGTGGAACCACCAGAAATGAGTATATGACTACATTTCAGTTTGTTATAATGTTTTACATTTAGACAATTGTAGAAGTCAATAAAGGAGAATCTGTGATGTGACTGTCTTCACATCTGAGGTTGAAAATTCAAGTCTAAGGGGGCAAGCAATTGGTAAAGAAAGATGGAAGGAGGAGATAACATGAACAAGTTAGAGACTGCAAAAGTCAACTAGAACCTGTGAGGATGGACTGTCATGCATATTAATTCTTGTTGCATTTAGCCTTGTTGAAGCTGTGTTAACAGCTGAATCAGACAAACAAGTTGAACTAGAACTAACGACACATCTGAATTACAAAACAGCTGCTACTTCCCTGTCACCTTTCAAATCTCACATAGGAATCCTTCTTATGGCCCACTCTAAATGGAATATACAAGAAAGGAAAGAAAGACAGCTCTCTATATCTATGAGTTCCTCATCCAGGCACTGCAACTGCCACTTCAACTGATCACAAATCAAAATATAGTTAAGATGGCAAAACTTGTACCTGTACCGAACATGTATAGGTTTTGTTTGTCGTTATTCCATAAACAATACAGTTTAACAACTGATTGTGTAGCATTTACATTGTGTTAGGTATCTGTCTTTGCTCCTCTTCTGCTGCTGTGATAAAATACACTGACAAAAACAACTTGGGGGAGAAAGAGTTTATTTTGGCCTCCAGTTGCAGAAAGATAGATTCCATCACGAATGTGTGAAGGAGACATGGCAACAGTCAGGGAAGGCATGATTTCAGGGGCAGGAAACTGGCTGATCATATTTCATCTCCACTCAGGAAATGGAAAGAGTGAGCATGAAGAGGGCCCTGGTTATCAGACTTCACAACCTGCCACAACTTTGCCCTCCAGCAATGCTCCACCACCTAAAGACTCCATAGTCTTCACAAACAGTGCCACCAGCTGGGAATCACATGTTCAAATGCATTCGAATGTGAAATCTCCCTAAGCGAGGCATTCACATTCAAAACACAACAGTATTTCAATGAATTAAAATATTCAGGAAAATATTCATTAGCTAGATGCAAATGTTGTGCCATTTTTAATAAGGGACTCCAACAGCACCAGATCTTACCAACACCCACGAATTCTGAAGGACAGCTGTACTGGGAGATACATACAACTCAGGCAACTTGACAAATAACAAGCCCATTACTACATGCCTTTCCTATATTATTTTTGTAGTCAATTTATTATGGTATAATTTACAATAAAATGTATCTATTTTAAGTATACAATTTGATGACCTTAACTATTTTGTTCTCTAAGATTCAGATAATTCATTTTCTGACACTATGTATTAGATTTGAGGGTTTAAAATTTTATATAACCGAAACCATACAGAATATACTGTTTTGTGTCTATTTCACTCATTTCCTAATTTTTCTTTTATTTTTCCATTTATTTATTTATTTGGTGTGTGCATATGTGTTTTGTGTGTGTGTGTGTGTGTGTGTGTGTGAGAGAGAGAGAGAGAGAGAATATGGCATGTGTGTGGAGGTCAGAGGACAATTTGGGAAGTTGGTTCTTTCCTTCTGCCATATGGATTAGAATCCAGGTCATCAACTCTGGTACCGAACACCCTTACTCCCTGAATCATCTTACTGGCTATCAGTTTAATCATTTTTAGATTTATTTATGCTGCTATTGCTAGATTCATGTTGTCAAGTTTTGGTGGTAAACACTATTATCCTTGAAACCATCTTGCTGGTCCCTATGTACTGCTTTTCAAAATGTAAACTCTGATGTTAGGATGAAGTGTCTATAAATGTCAATTATGTCCAGTTGGTTGGTGCTATTTAAGTTTTCTGTAACATTACTGACTTTCTGTCTACTTATTCTGCTAATTATTGGTGGAAGAATACTGAGATCATTTTTCCCTAATTGTTTGAAGTCATTAATAGCTGTTCATGTGTCTATTTCTGCTTTCAAGTTCCCTTATGATTTATTTCATATATTTTGAAACTGCTAGCTATTGCATGTGTATTTAGAAATTCTTTTCTTGACTTGTCTCTTTTGCATATGTAATGTCCCTCTTCATCTGTAATAGCATTTTGGGTTGCTTTGTTCTCAGCAGGGTTCTGTTTGTAGTAAATTCTCTCTGGCTTCAGAAAATATCATAATTTGATTTTCATTAAAAGATGGTCAGCTGGTGTGGTAACAGTCCAGTTTGTGCTGCTATAACTGAATGCCAGAGACTAGATAATAAATAAAGAAAAGAAATGCAGGAGCCTGGGGCATGTAAAATCAAAATGTCAGCCTTTGATGAAGGCTTTCTTGCTGCATCCAAACAAAGCAGAGATATCACGTGGTAGAAGGGCAAAGACAGGCTGAGAAAAACAAGATGAGACTTCACAGCCTCATGCTATCTGTAGCCAGCATTAATCCATTCACATGAGTGGCACCCTCCTGACCTGAATATCCCCCACAGGCCTCACCTCCCAACACTCACACATCAGAGATAACCTTTGCAGCACTCACAGTTAGGGACATGGTAAGACCATAACAGTTGGATATTAAAGCCAAGCTAATAGTTTCTGTCTCTCAGCCCTGCAAGGATAACATTTCCTTTTATTTTAGGCCTTTAATGTTGCTGTTGTACTAGCTCTTTTCTATTTATTTGCAGCTGCTTTCTACGGTGCTCTGCCTTTTCTCCCTAATGGATTTTAAGATTTGCTATTTAACTTTGGTATTTCAATACTTTTTGCAATGTAAATATATTTAGGTTTGGATTTCTTTTATCTTTCCTTCTTGGCATGGATATATTTTTTAAAACTGGAATTTATGGCTTTAATCAATACAGAAAAAACTGTCAGCCATTATGTTGGAAAATATTGATTTTCTGTCGTCCTACCATCTCTGTAATCTTTCTAGTGTCTCCCTGGGGAGTTCTTGCCACAGATCTATGCGGCTATCTCATTCTAGCCCTGATATCTCACCAGCTCCTTTTCATATGCTCCATAATTCATATATCCCATTTTTTGATCTTGCTGTGCTGCATTTTAAGTACATTCATCAAATATATTCTCCAGTTCAGTAATTCTCTTCTGTGATGTTAAATGTGATTTAAAACTCCACTGAGTTTTAGATTTCAATATTTATACATTTAATTCCCAAGAGATCAGCTGGGTTCAAAATTTGCTGTGAATTTTTTAAATAGTGACACGTTCTTATGGAAGAAAATGCTCCCTTTGTGTCTTTTCTAATTCTAAGCTCACTTATTTTATCCTTTCCCCTAGGATATCCTAATATGAGAAGAATTTAGAGACTATAAATTTACAGTTTAGGGCCCACTCTTAGGTTTTGTAACTTGGATCCTTCCCTGTGCAGTCTTGCACATCTCAGACTCTGACTGTACTCTTTCAAAGCAATTTTTATTTTGTTTATGTTGTCTACCAAAATCTAAACAGAGTTTCTATGTTAATTTTTTTTTAATTTTTAAAGGCTAGACAAAGGAAATAGGAAGTAAAGGAAGGAAGGAGGGAGGGAGGGAAGAAAGGAAAACAGTCTTCATTGTCAGCTTGTGCCAGCAGGTGAGTTTGTTCTTTACTACCTATTGCCAATGGCTCTTACTTAAAGGCCTTGGTTTTATTTGCAACTTGACAATTCTAATTTTTTGCCATATGTAATCCAATGTAAAGCTAAATAATCTACACCGAAAAGAGATACAAAAGAACATGTACAGAAATATACTCCAGACTGGGTGGTGGCAGTGTACACCTTTAATCCCAGCACTCAGAAGGCAGAGTAACATTAGAACTTAGCAAGAAAACACAAAACTAACTTAAACTACCCAGGAAATTTTATTTTCACATTTACAAGAACTCCAAAAATTGGTATTTTGGGTCAATTAAATTAGTGGTTCCCCAGTGATATTAGGAACTTTGTTGTCCTTCATTTCCTCTAGTCTTGCTTTCTTATGTTCCAGCTAATATTAGAATCTATCCCAAAATAGGGATTATTTCTGTTTCTACAACCCAATTTTTACATCCATGTGGGGGTTCCATTCCTGACCTAGAGGTGTTGGCTTATGTGCATGCACTTGTGTACTCTCCCCAAATTCTCCCTAAATTGGAATCACGAAACACAAACCATTGCATCACCTGTCTTTTACAAATATTTACACATAGAAAATCTTTTATTTCATTTCATGGCTATATTAAAGTTTTGAAAATCATTAAAACTTGGCCCAACTGTGATGCAGTTTATTCACATCTGTTCACTCATGCAAAAGGAAAGAAATGTCCACCTACAGAAGGTGAAAGGTTAAGAGAATAAACAAGTTGGTGAGTAGGGAAGAAATAAAAGCCAAAATCACTTTTTTCCACTATCAGGGCTGGAATTCTGACATTACTGTTTCAATGTCTTAATTGGCCTTATTTTCACTCACACTTATCATTTTTTCATTCAGTGTGACTTTCAATTAGTAACCCCCAACACTTTTGATGAGTTCTTTCCAGCTGATAGCCTGACTAAACCTGCGTCTGGGAAAGATGTGAGAGATAGCATCTGTGGGGCTGAGGCTGTGTTGGAGTGGCAGCTGCTGCAGCTCTCTTTTCTAGGGAAGTCACATGGGTCAGCCCATGCCATGGAAAAATATACTTTTCTCTGGGTATATACCTTCTGAAAGGAGAGTGATTAATCTAAGCCTATGTTTCCTTTTATTGAAGATCTTATCACTTCTCGGCCTTTTGGTTAAGATCAAATGTAGTATCTGTTCTTATCAGTATAATATCTGGTATGTCCTCTATCCGAGGACAATATATCAAGTGGATTTTGGGAAGTAGGAGTTGGAATAGGAGCTTGCTCCATCCACTCCACACATCGACCTGGTATTTCAGTGTCTCCAGAAACCGTGAAACAAATAAACAAAGACCACTTCATTTCTTTTATTTTTTGCAATACAAGCATCTGTATACAGAATAATGAACCCAAAATGTGATTAATAGTTAATCTTGGAGCTACAGATATGACTCAAAGAGTGTTTGTCAAGCATGAACAAAGCCCTACTTTCAATCTTGTTTACATCAACACCATTTAAACCCAGGTGTGGTGGCACATGTTTCCAGTCCCAGTACCTGGAGGTAGAAGCAGGAGGATCAGATGTTCAAGGTCATCCTGGCCTACAAAGTGAGTTTGAGGCCAGCCTGGGCTACATTAGACAATGATGTCTCATATGTGTGTATACACACACATACACACACATACATACATACAAACATACATACACCTATCTTCTTTTCACACTTCCTATAACTTTTAGCATTACATAACTTTCAGTGTGACTTTTATTTAGTATATAATATATAATGCATATAATGTGCTGAATAAATATTTCATTATGAATGAAATATTATCCAGTCTTTAAGAGCAAGGAAATTTTGGCATATGTTACCACATGGATTATGCTAAATGAAATAAGCCAGTCCCTAAAAGGCAGCTATTGTATGATTGTACTTGTCCGAGGTAACTAGACCATCAAAATTCACAAAGGCAAAGCAGAGTACTGGGTGCTCAAGGCTTAGGGGAACAAGACATAGGGAGCTGTTTAATAGGTACAGAGTTTTAATTTTTTGGATAAGAGTTCTAAAGATCAGTTATGCTACAGCGTCAATTTATTTCTCGAATTTACTATGACTGAATTATGTACTTAAGAATAGTAAAGAGGCTAAGTTGTATGATTTATGCATTTTATCATAATTAAATTATTTTAAAAGATGGAAAGGAAAAAGTTTTAATTGCAATTTTTGATGGCAAATCATGTACATGGACTAAATTAGAAGGTATGAAGGGCAAATAGTGTTTTGACTGTGAGCCTTCTCTGTACCCAAGTCCTCCTATTTGCCTTATAATTGCCCACCCCCTCTTCCCAGAAGCATCAATTGATAATATTTTCTTACATGTCCCTCCGTAGATGTGATTCAAAAGACACATTCTTTTGAATAGCTGCATGGTATTTGTTTGGATTTCATGCATCTGCCATTCCCCCAACAGTGGCCCTTTCATTGTCTCTCATTTAATGTTTCTTTAAAATCTAACCTTGAAATAAATAATATACATTCCACTATGTCTCTGATTATTTCATATAGTTTTTACATAACTAACTCATTTTAACAGACACATTTACAGGATTCAAGATTCAGAAAGCAAAAGAGAATAAACTTTGCAGTGTTCCACTGTTGTTGATGTCTCCCAGGTCATCATGCTCCTGGGTATGTCATTTGCCTGACTTTTTACTATCTGCTCTTTGCATTTTTTTTTCTGCACTACTTACTACTCCAGGAAACTACATTTCCAAGGTTCCTCTGCCTGGTGGCTTCTGGTTAGCTTCAGTGGGGAGTAAGGAGAAAGACTGCTCTCTACTCCTATTGCTGCAGCTTCTTGACTCCATTTCCTACTAGACATCTCTACTCTATTCCAACTCTTTTTGGGCACCAATCCTGGATTCTACTACTGCTGCTGCTGGTTCAGTATTATTAGGTAAGCATATATTCTAGTCTGCTTCCTGTTGCTGTGATAAACACCATAACCAAAAACAACATGAGGAGGAAAAGGGTTTATTTGGCTTTAGATGACTGGAGCATTGAGAGAAATCAGGACAGGAAGTCAAGCCAGAGCAGAGGCAAGAACCATGGAGGAAAGCTGTTTACTGGCTTGTTGTTGAGTTCACATTCAGCTAGCTGCCTTTATTATACACCCCACTCTCCCAGTGGTGGCACTGCTCACAGTGGTTTGGGCATTCCTTCATCAATTAGCAATCAAGAAAATGCTCTACCACCATGCCCACAGGTCAATCTGGTGGTGGCAATTCCACAACTGAGGTTCCTTCTTCCTAGGTGTGTCAAGCTGACAATCGAAAATAGCCTTCACAGCAAAGTTTAAGAATTTCATCATGTTGTCTTGATCATGAATTGGCATGGTGATTATCCAAATAGGATGAACAATTTGTTTACTGAATGTCTTTTTTTAAATCTCTGATGTCACAAGACTGATGCAATTCTGTCTCCTGGGAAGAATGTGAGGTGTGCCTGAAGATTACACTAGCACAGGCTTGCTAGGCTTAAGGGCACAAACTGGCTTGCCTTTAATCAGCAATAATGGAGATATGTGCCTTCAATTCTCATTATTGAAAGTTTTTTCAAGAAGCTGCATGGAATGGCCCAAGAGCCACCTATTACTGCTTGTTAAAATGTGAACCCTGGGGTCAAAGAAATGTTAAGAATTAAAGTAAGTATGAGAAAGAGTACCGTGGCTGATTGCTATTCCCAGTGCCACAGCTGGCAAACTTCCTGCAAGGAGCCAAGTAGAGCACAGTGTGGGTGTTAAGGGCTATGCTGTCTTTGGTGACATGACTCACTTCTGATGTTTTAATACTGAGGCATCCACAGACCATGTTTAAAAGAATGAGCATGACTGTGTTTTAGTCTGACTTTCTCAGCAAAAGGGCAGTTGGCAGGAGCTTCCCAGGTCATACTTTACCCACCCACATCCCAGAGTAAAAATCAGAGTCCTCACAAGGCACAGTCACTTCAAACCATAGAGTGTTCCCCGTCTGTGACATCTGAAATAAATCATAGGTTAACAGGTCATTTGGATATTGGACTTTAGATGTAGACTGGCTATTATTAACTATATGACCTTGGACAATAGTTTCTTCATGGAAAAGCTGAATAATAGATGTTATTTCTGCATGTAGTAATAGTGAACACAATATATTAATAGATGTGCTGGATACAATTTGGCAGCCTTTGCTCAGAGTATTTCCTGCTGCCAATGTAGTCTTCTGCATTCATTACTTTTCTCTCTGTGTAAAAGGAGCGGCAGGCTGTGTCCCCGCCGCCTGGCTCATGGCTAGCTTTATCCGGAATAATTACACGGAAACTGTATTCATTTAGACACTGCCTGGCCCATTATCTGTAGTATCTTATTAGCTAATTCTCACATCTTGCTTTAACCCATATTTAGTAATCTATGTAGCACCATGAGGTGGTGGCTTACCAGGAAAGATACTAACCTGCGTCTGTCTCGGAGAGGAGAGTCATGGCGACTGCCTCCCTGCCTTCTTCCTCCCAACATTCTGTTCTGTTTACTCTGCCTATCTAATTTTCTGTCCTATCAAGGGACCAAGGCAGTTTCTTTATTAACCAATGAAAGTAACACATAGACAGATGACCCTCCTCCATCATTTCCCCTTTTTCTGTTTAAACAAAAAGGAAAGGCTTTAACTTTAACATAGGAAAATTACATATAACAAAACAGTTATCAAACAAGAATTACAGCTACAATATTTATATCTATTTTATCTTTTATCATAACTAAGGAAAACTATAACTATAACTAACTATTCTTCAGCTCTATCAAAAACTCCAGAAGGATATAATATTACCTAAGTAAACAAGAAGTAAACAACTTCCAAAACTCTAGAAATGACAAAGACATCTTGCTGCCTGTACAGTCACCCAAAGTATTTTTTTTGTACCATTGGGGCATCTATCTTCAGCCTTCAGGCCCATAGTATCCAGCAGACTTTTCCTTGAACCAGGAAAATTCAAAGACATTTCAGTCACTTTTTGCTGTGTCCTGCAGAATGTCTCGTAGACTCTTTCATAAATCAGGAACCCCGAAGGTTCATCTCACCTTTAGGCAAGTTTAACAGTCCCCTCTCTGCAGGCTCTCTGTGTCCAGTTTATGCAACAGTCCATGCAAGAGCAGTTTCTTGCCCAAATGTCTAACCAACTCCATAAGGAGCCTCTTTGATGTCCATCTTCCTCTTGAAATAGATTGGTGCTGCCAGGAGCAGACATGTCTCATTTTCATGAAAAACCCTAAGTTATTAAAACATTAAATGCCATATTCCGTAGGCTTTGAAAGATATGAAGAATGCCTATCTGAAATAGATCTATGTACATCTAGAAAGTCTAACTAACATGACTACAAGTTTGACTATTATCGATGATTATACATTAACAGCCTATATTTCCTAATTATACATTATGTTTTTAAATGAACTACACAATCACAATATCTTAATCAAGATCAGAAATACATATACATATAACAAAATTGACCTTAAAATCCATACCAATGCAAATTATTCATATCTATATCATATCCCCTTTTAAATGTAAAAGAACATTTATAAACAATATTTGGGAATATGGGCGGTAGTTATTTCTCTCCAAACTTCTTCCTGTTGTATGGGGGCGCTGTTAATCAGGTCTTCTGTGGTGTAACCTATGTGCCAGGTTCATCTCAGTCGGCAGTTGAGTGAAGCAATTTTTGAGGGTTTTCACAGCAACCTTTCAGGAGAATGTGGTCTATCATACCATATTGGGATAGAAACAATCTACAGGGTCTCATCCTCTGTGAAAACAAAAGAAGAATCTCTTTTCCAAAGTATCATATCCCTAGATACAAATTCTGAAGTCATAATACCCTTATATCCATTCTGGTTTAGCTTGGCAGCCCATATAATGAAATGTCTCTCTGTACTTAGCTCCTTCACAGTCAAAAATTTTAAAGAAAACACAATGTACATAATCCAGACTCTCTGTGAATTTTCCATTTTTACGTGGCTTATTTTTATTTATTTCTTTTAATCTATAACTATCTGTACTCTGTCTCTTTAAAGACTTTACCCTTTTTCTTTAAGGTATTAACTTTATTCTCTATATTCTTTTTCTTTTCTCTCCCAAGCCTACATACAGTCATCTAACACTGTGACCCATTCAGAGGTCTTTTATGTCTGAATCTGTCCTATTGTGAATCTGTAATTCTTTACTGTCCAGGAGCAGTTCTTAAAATGTTAAGCACTTCTTAAAAACTTTAGTTGCACCATGTAGAGGTAATACAGTACCACCTGTTTA